ATGCTACTTTTATTTTCTGCTTTTGACAGCAGCTAGGCAGGGGATCAAGTTACCAAATCAGCGTTTTTTGCAAAGGTCAGGTGTGTGAGAAGGTGCGGGCTGGGGTGGGGGTGGGGGGCTAGATAGGGGAGAGTATGGCACGAGACCCTGGAATAGAGACCATGAGAGGCGGGAGGCGGCCTGGGCCAGGAGTAACCGGGTGGTCCAGTCTCCATCAGGCCCTGGGAAATTGGATGCCGTCACTCCCTCATGGCTGTCCCCAGGCCCCCACCGGAGTATGTGGGGGATTTGTGAGCTCGGATTCTCCACCCACGCAGGGCCGGAGTGAGTGGGGGCACTTCTGGAGGCATAATGAGGGCTCGGTTACGAGACCAGTGCAAGTGGACTTGATTTTTGGCTCCTGGCATCAGGTGGGGGCAGGCCCATGTCTGTCCGCGTCTTTAGATCGTTTCCCCACCCCTTCTCCTTCCCAAACCATCCTTTCCCAGGTCCTCAAGACACAACATTCCGGAACGCTCCCAACTCCCACCTGTCATCCTCTGCGTCCCTTCCTAACTCTCCCTTCCCCGTTCCCCAAAGCCCTGGAATTGGGGGACTTCTAGGATATTGTTCCTTCTCCCCATTCCTGTCGGTTCCAAATCCAGGAAGGAAGGTCTTCCGGATACTAAGCTGAAAATGTGGGGACTCTGCCCACGATCCTTGGTCCCCCGAGACCCTCCAAATACCTTGCCCCCCCGCCCCGAAAAAAAATAGGTCTCTACTGAGGGGGAATCTCTCCGCTGTAATTTCTGAGTCCCCGTCTCCCGAGTCCCCCGCCTCCACAACTAGGATTTGGACTGTCTCACCGCCCCTGTTTCCTGAGCCTTCTACCCCTCTCTGTACTCACCCCAAGTCGAGGCGGGGCGGGGATGGGGGAATCCGGGGCTGGCGATGGGGGGAGGGGTGACCCAGCTCTGGGCAGCAAAAGGCTGCGTAGGGGGAGTGACATCATCGCCGGAGGAGGGGCAGCACAGCGCCCCCAGCCCAGGGGCTTCATGCCCCGCCTTTATGGGATCCGAGAACCCAAGAAGAGAGAGGAGGAACAGGAGATGAAATCTGCGGGAACGATATCCCCTCCCCTTAGAATAAGAATCGGGAAACTCTTTACGATCTCATCCAACCCCCATTGCCACCTGTCGCTGCCGCCGCGACCTGTCGCCTCCCACGCATGTTGTGTCTGCGCCCGCCCCCAAGGCCGTGAACACCGCCCGAACTACAACGTCCGTGATGCTCCGCGATGCCGGGAGCCTTTGACGAGAGGCAGTGTAGGCGCGGGGCTTCATGG